CCCACTCTGTCTCTGGTGAAGTCTCTCACTGCCTCTGAGCCTCTGGCCTGTACCCCAGTTCTGTATGTACAAATAAATAAATCTTTAAAAAAAAAGTTTAAAAAAAAAAAAAAGATTTACCTTCTTGTGCATGTTTTCTTTTATTAAAAAAATGTCTAATAAATAGACAGAATCAAAGAAAGAAAAATACATGATGCTGTATTTAGGTGGAAAGATAAAGATGAATTAAAAAATTTTAATAATTAACAATGTAGGCTAAATTTCAAGAATTTTTATATCCATCAGGATTAATAGGGCTTATTGGTGGTCTAATGGTTAGGATTTGGTTATCTCTACGGATTAATCTGTACAGGTCTTTCATATAATTTTTTACATACGCAAAATGAAAACCAAAACACATCTTCTGACTTGTCATACTCCTCAGACCACCTCAAGTAAGAAAATCTCTTGGCATTGGCTTTACTGAGGTACAGTGTTGTCCTTTTCACTGAAGTCTCACTCATGAGAGACCTGAGAAAAGTGAACATTGTTTTATCCAACCTCTGTCAGTATGATAAAAAGAAAGTTTTTTCTGGGCCCTCCTGGTTGCACAGGGGTTAAAATCTCAGCATTATCAAGCTATTGTCAGTCACTGTGGGATGAGTTCAATCCCCAGCCAGGGAGCTAACCCACATGGTACAGCAGACCTTTCCCGTCTTGCCTACTGCTCCCCTCAGCAGTGTATTTCAGTAGACAGCTAAACAGGAACTTTTAAGAAATCAATATTCAGGCCCTCCCTGGTGGCGCAGCGGGTTAAAGCACTGCACTGAGAAACTAAAGCCACTTCCGCATGAGTTCGATCCCCGCCTGCCCCGGAGGTGACCACATGGCGTGGCAGACCTCTCCTGACCTGCCCGCTGCTCCCCTCAGCAGTGTACTTCATCGATCTGCCTGTTCTACTTCCCGCTCTGTCTCTGGTGAATCCTCTCACCCTCCGCATCTCTGGCCTGTACCCCAGTTCTGTATGAATAAATAAATAAATCTTAAAAACAAGAAATCAATATTCAAAGACCAATAAGATTAAACAAAACTACCTCACTTCGAGTGACCACAATCCTGACCAGGGTGGAGTCATCTGTGCCAGCACCTTTCATAGAATAGTAGAGCCTCTCAGCAAAGAAGGCAGAGCGGTTCAGGGCACACTGCACTGCAAGTTAGAAATGTTTCACACATGGAGTCATTAGACTTGACAGATACACTCTACTCCAGTTTCATTTATCACTTCTAGCCTGTCTCTGATCATTTTCTAGGTAACCATCCCAAAAGTCTGAGGTGAGTTGAAGATGTTCCCCTGCTTGATTTTTCTCAGCATCTATCTTTCTTTTTAGCTGCATTATACAGGTATCCTTTAATTCTAGGAGGTTCCCTTCTGGCCAATAAGTTTCTATTCTCTCCCAAAAGATACAGTAAATTAGCTTCACTACATTTTTCCCCCCTTAAGGTAAGAACATCTATAGCAACTACATCTAGTAATATTTTCCTTCAGTAGAATAATGACAAAAATCTTAACTCTAGAAGTCAAATATATCATATGACTGAGAGGAGGATGAGATAACTCCAATATAAAAATAAAACCATATTTGAGCAAAGTTTTGAGAACAGTACTCAGAAATTTAACATGTTTCAAAATTAACAAAGCTTCTTCCTGCAGATGGTAGAGATGTACTAAGTACAATGTACTTTAGCTACAATAACTATATTTGTGAGACATTTAATTTGATTACCATTATGCTATTAATACCCTCTTGCTTATATATTCTCCATGAAAATGAAAATTTTACTTTATTGGACAGCTGAAACAGGGCTTTCAATTTCAAAAGGAAGTTTTTCATTGAGCTGAATACTTTAAATGTGCTTTTGAGAGGTTCCAAATGATGCTTTCTGTAGCAGGAAATAAGAGTCCTTAAGGGCTTTCTCATTTAGCTAAATGGTAATGCGTCAACCTATTGTATATTCCTGCATAGTTCTTAAGAAAGGGGTAGAATAAAGACCAAATAATTACAAAACAATCCTGTTTGCTCATGCTGTCAACCATTCATAGAAAACTGCATACAAAAATATAGGATTTACTCAGTCTCTGCCTCAGTAGATTCCAAGGAAGCTATGTTAATAATCATCACTTATTGGAAACAACTATTCAAAGACTCACTCATTCACAAACAAAATAAAGTAAAACACAAAAGTATCTTACATATAGTCTTCAAACCGCTTTCAACATTTCCAGAAAACTCACGGCCAATACTGCCTAACAAATCTCGATTAGCTGTCTGTAAACAAAAAGTATAGGGGTATTAAATACCTTCAGATTTCAAAACAGAAATTAAGTCTTCAAAAGAAAAGTTCATACCCTAGAATAAGCCTCCATGGTAGCTTTTAACTGAGGAAAACTTCTTGATGCAAGAATCATGTTAAAGCAAGATTCATCTGTTCCTAGTTTCCCTTCACCAGCTTGGTACAGACGCTGAGCATCTTCCTGAGCCAACTGGTGGTTGACAGTCTGGTTCTCATCACGATTTCCCTGTAAAAGAGGAAGGGAGAAATTGGAAGGAAGTAATACAAGTTCTATTAAAATTTTTTTCCACTGTAGTCACTTTGGGATTTAAAAGTATAGTTCATTAAAAATTAATGCATAAGGCCCTCCCTGGTGGCACAGCGGGTTAAAGCACAGCACTGAGAAGCTAAAGCCACTTCCGCATGAGTTTGATTCCCGCCTGCCCGGAAGGTGACCACATGGCGTGGCAGACCTCTCCTGACCCGCCCGCTGCTCCCCTCAGCAGTGTACTTCGTCAATCTGCCTGTTCTGCTGCCCACTCTGTCTCTGGTGAATCCTCTCACCGCCCCTGAGCCTCTGGCCTGTACCCCAGTTCTGTATGCACAAATAAATAAATCTTAAAAAAAAAATAATAATGCATAAATTTTATCATGCATATCTTTCAATTCCAAAGAAACTATACTAGTATAATTCATATAAGGTATATGAAACATTTTCAGGGCTTACAAACCACTATTTGAATAAAGAAATTATAATTCTTTTAGTTCAGATTTAAAGTCAATATGCATTATATTGAGTTCTACTTTGTATTCAATCATACCACTTATAAGTATTAAGCACTTGCCTGATTGTATTAGTCAAGGTTTCCAGAGAACAGAACCAATGGGAAGGGCTAGTGGTGGGGACACAAGAAACAAACCTACCCTCAAGGAATTTACTTATTTTGAGTTGAGGTAACAATGGCTTATATATTTTTAAAAAGATTTCTTTACTTATGCTTTAGAATTGGGGTACAAGTCAGAGATGTAGGGAGTGAGAGGATTTACCTGAGACAGAGTGAGGAGCAGAACAGGCAGATGTACTGAAATGCACTGCTGAGGGTAGCATCGGGCAGGTCAGGAGAGGTCTGCTGAGCCATGTGGGTCACCTCCCTGACGGGATTGAACTTGTGCTGCAGTGGTTGTGATAGCTTCACAGTGCTGTGCTTTAACCCGTTGCACCACTAGCGAGGACCCAACACTGGCTTATATTATTGTTGGTATTTTGGACGTCTAAGAATTCCACCCTCTGTACTACCACTATGTACTATGCACTATGGCACTATGGTACTGGCACTATGGTACAAATCACCACCAAATCACCCACAGTCCACCACCATAGTTCACTTTGCTTCCTTCCCTCTTCATTCTCACCACTGCCCAAAATCCCCTCTTCCCTCAGATGCTTCAGTTCTTTATTTTCTTTCCCTTTTTATAATCAACCTTCCCAGTTTTTAATCATGTTTTTATCTGATCCTTAGTTTGGTTTCATGTAAGTGCAGACTGGTTCAGCCCTTATAGGAAGCAACATGGATGTGTCTCAAGATTAAAAACGGATCTGCCCAGTAAAAACGGATATGACCCAGTAATTCCACAACTATGCTTCTGCCAAAGAAAATTAAAAAATACTAATTTGAAAGGAAACTTGCACTTCCATGTTTACTGCAGCATGATTCCATATACACTCATTTTGTTACACTCTGTTCCGCAGGTCTCTCTTGTTTTCTTTTGCTTTTTTTAATATTCAAAAGGGCAGGCTGATTATAAAAAGGGGAGGGAAATAAAGGGTACTTGCACAGACACAGTGGGCAGAAAGAGCAGTCCCTGACAGGGAAAGGCTTGTGAAAAGAGACACAGGAGGTAGTCATGTGAGGAGCCCTGCTGCTGCTGCTTTGCAAAGAAAGGTTGGTGAAAAGGAACACCTGCATAGTCACAGGCAGGCAGCCTGTTCTCTTTTACTTTTAATAGCTCCTCTGTGTGAACTCGCAGGATAGCAATACTTCTTCATTTTGAAGTCTTTTTTATCATCCCTCAAATATACCCTCATCAACTCAGTCTAAATGTGCGTGTGATATCATTCCTAATACTCTATTTCGAAATTTTCTGTCACTTCCCCAGTTTCTCTGGGTAATCTGAATAAGGAAGGAACTAAATGCTGTGAACCCTAAAATATTCTCTGCATTTCTAGCTCTCCTTACATAGTTCTCATCTCTTCTAGCCCTCCTTTGGCAGTCCTGCTTATTTTCAATTGGTGGTCCCACTTAACTGTCAATACTAAGTTTAAAAGTGCCAACCCCCAGTGGTACAGGGGTTAAAGTCTCAGTGCTATGAAGCTATTGCCAATCACTATGACATGAGTTCGATCCCTGGCCAGGGAGCTAGTCCACATGGTGCAGCAGACCTCTCCTGTCTCACCTACTACTTCTTAGTACATCTGCCTGTTCTGCTCTCCATTCTGTCTTTGGTGAATCCTCTCACTCCTTCTCCCCCCCCACGCAGCACCCCAATTCTTGCATGCATACATAAATAAAAAGTAAGTCATAAAAAAAAAGCAAAGACCCATGCCCATTTGAGGAAAGTCTCAAGTTGATTTCTGATTCCATATAACCTTAAATAGGTTAATTCCTTATTCCTTACAGATGCCAGATCTACAGAAATAAATCTCCAGTAGTGACTATAAAGAAATTTGTACAAAGGATTCTGTGTTGTCCCTCTTAAAAATGGCAAAAGGAATAAAGACTGTTGTTTGGCCATAGTCAGTAAAGAATGTTCCTTCTAACGATACACAGAATATATTCATACTATACTTACCTGACACATGGATACAAGTAAACGTTCAAAATGCCCTGATGTATCTGACCTAATGTCCTTTTCAAGGTCCCGCCCAAATTCTGATTGATAACATCTGACAATTTCTCGGATTTCCTGATTTGTTCTTGTACACAAAATTTCAATCAATACACGTTCTTGAGTTCCAACTCCCTAAATGAAATGAAAAGGAAGAATTATAAAAAAGAAAAACAAATTTTCTAAAAATTAATTCAATCTTATTATTCCATTCTATTTTCCTTTGGATTTCAGACCCGAAAAGCTGTATGCATTCAGATAATATGACACAATGTACTGATTTACTATTACTATAAATTCTGCCATAATTTACATTTGAAATAGAATAAAATTTTCAAAGCAGACTACATATCGTACCTTCATTGCATTCCGTAAACTCCAGGCATCATAATACGTAGGGGGCATGAACAGGGCAAGGATCAACTCTTCCATATTTCCACTTAATTCTGACTTGAGATCACTGATTAAATCCTGTTCAATTACCAATATAAAATCAATAAATATATGTGTCCTCCAAATTTTTGTTGCTCAAGTTTTTTAAAGAAAACATGGAAAAATGAAACTGAATTGCTTTATGAAAACCTAACATATATATGATCGTTTATAACATATAGACTATTATATACTAAAAAGTAAGTAAATGTAAAAAGTGTTATTCTAAGCCAATGTATTTTATTCATTTTATCAATTCTAATATTAAGTGATCAATATTATCAATTAATAAATTCTGTAGTTTTACCACATACCAGTAGCAAAAGTAAGATATACATGAAGTGAAGCATAATTCAAATTTGTAAAATGAAAAACATGATACTAATGTAAGAAACTGTTATTTTGTGTGAGAAGTTAGAAAGCATCATCATTATGTTCTTATTAAGAAAGATAAGCATCTGGAAGGGATAATGCTAATTGAAATCAGTCAGAAAGAGAAATACCGTAGGATATCACTAAAATGTGGAATATAGAAGAACCAAGCTAAGGGTCAAACCAGCTTAAAAACTAACTCTTGAAAGCTGACTACAAAACTGAAGCATCCAGAGTGGGGAGAGGGTAAGAAGAAAAAAGAAAGAAAGCATGATGGACTGCAGTAGTGGGCTGTGGGTTATTTGGCAGTGGGTGTACTACAGTGGCAATACCTGATCAGAGGATCCTAAGTTACCTCAATTTAAATAATTAACTAAAAAGAAAAAAAGAAAAACATCTAGAAAGAGATAAGGCAATCTATACTCCAGTACCAGATGAGTTAGTACTGTAGAATTAAGTATGAGAAATTAAAACAGGAAAAGTTAAAGTAGGATAGAGAATGCAGAGAAAACTTTTAGTCCAGATATGAAAGAGTATATAAAAAATCAGTAAGATATGACAAGAAAGGCATTTCAGGCAAGGAGGAACACAAACAAGAGACAGAAAAGTGGTGGCCAGCTATGCATTAAACTCACCTGTGGAATTTTTCTTAAAAAAAAAAAAAGGCAAAACATTGATACTAAGAACAATGAAGATTATGATGCTCAGCTAAGGTTGAGAATCACTAGTATGGAGTCAAGAATTGGCAAAACTTGTTCAACTAAATAATGGTAACCAACTTGCTCTTTACCCGCAATGTGCCAATTTAAAAATATTGACATTTATTACTTACATGGTTTTTACACAGAATAGGTTCTCATTTTGAATTGGGAAGTACTACACAACTAAATACAAAGAGGAAGGAAGATATTTAAACCAAATTTGGATGTTCTGTTCATGTGACATAAGCTTTTGTATATAGCATGCAACAGCAGTTTTAAAGTAACATTGAAAAATATGAATTCTACACATTTATTATTGCATTCTGATTAAGCTGCAGAGGTGAATATTCTCATAGGTGAGTAAAACAAAGTTGTAACTATGCTTAGGTTATTGCCTTCACTGTCAAGCTAAAGAATATGGTTTTAATTCTGATACTGGGAAGAGTCATTGGAAAATTTTAAGCAAGAAAATGGCAAGATGACAAGCTATAGATGAGAACAAATTTAGGCTATTGGAATATTTAGGTAAGAAGTAATTGAGGCTTGAACCTGAGTGGTAGGAAAGGAAATGGAGTGCATAAAAGGAGATAGAAACTTCTTTTTTAAAGATTTATTTATTCATACAGAACTAGGGTACAGGCCAGAGGTGCAGGGGTGGTGAGAGGATTCACAAGAGACAGAGTGGGGAGCAGAACAGGCAGACGGACAAAGTACACTGCTGAGGAGAGCAGCAGGCGGGTCAGGAACATTTTTAAAATGCCCTTTTTACATATTAGATCAGTAAGACAGTCAGTAACAAACTGCTAGGACAAAGCAGTTGCTGGCACAGTAGGTACTGAATAAATATGCACTAACTGATGAAGAAGAATATGGAATCAAATAAGACTCCATGACAGGCTAGAAAAATAGCATTTTTACTAATTAAAATAAGTCACAGAAAAGGTGGTTGTAGAAGGAAAATAGGCAGTGAATTTTGTTTTAATTCAAAAGCAGCTGATGAGAAAATTTAGGTCAAAATAGAACAGACTATGTAAGAACTAAAAAACAATACACAATACTGAAAACACTTTTGGAGAGCAGTGGGAAGCTGAACCTCATGGAAATGGAGTTTGTGTCACTCAATCAGACATCACGACTAACGAAACTGACCTGGGGTAGGCAGAGAGGGAGAGGCACAGAAAAACAGACGAGGGGGCAACAAGTGATGGACTACTCCCATTCTGAGAAGAGTAAGGTGAATTTAGAGGACAGTGGGAAATTTTTATGATATCTATTTAAATGGCAAACCAATGCTACCTTTACATTTTTCCTTTATATCTGAGAAGCAACTGTATTTTTCACTATAAACTCTTGTTGGACTTAGTCACATTCAACTAATATCTATTAAGTAGTTATTTGTTCTTGTTCCTGAACTTAGTGCTATAAATTCAAAGATATGACGTGATTTACTCTAGAGGGCAATTCTGGAGGAGAGTCAGCAAGATTAGTAATAGCGGGGATTTTACAAAGTAGTATGGGCCCCAATGGAAGAAGCTACTTTCAGAGTAGGAGACTTAAGCCAAATTCTGGAAAAGCTGTTCACCATGCAGAAAGAGATGAAAAGGTGTTCCAAGCCAAGAGAACAGCATGTACAAAGTATCCAAGATAATACTGTATAGAGAATGACAAGAAGTTCTGTGTAATCATAAAATAGGACATGTTTGTAAGAGAGGGAAAGGAGTGGAAGATAATGCCAAAGACCAAAAATAAGCAGATGATACAGAATAAGTCTTTGAATTCCTTTGTATAGAGCAGAAGATTGAGAACTAAGCTATTGGTCATAATTGTGATTATATTCTACTTCCTATTGAACATTATCACATACTAGACACAGTATATAGAGTTTAACCCTGAGCTCAAGGACTACTGAGGAATTAGGAAAGCTTTTCAGAGAATAGTAAAGATAGCACTTTTGGAGAATCTGAAGTACAATTGCTTCTAGTTTGTACCACTGACATTTATAAAAAGATAATATCCAACTGACATGAATTTTGGATCTACAGGTCATTGTTCAATCTCACCCCTGAAAAGAAATATAAAAGAACATACCTTGCCATACATGGTCTTAAAAGCTGCTTTAATTTTTTGCCTTTGATCATTGGAACGGTTGGACACAACATCCACAATTGCCTGCTCATCTGTCCCTGGAAGAATCACACATGTGTAAGTAAAGATGAAACCTGTGCTGAATGATACTTGAGGATATTAGCAAGGTGCTTATGGCCAGATTAAACTAAGGTATGTGCACTAACTTTACATATAAACTTGGATTGTGACATATTTATTTTTAATTTAGATCCAACTGCACTTATTGTAACAGAACCTGTTTTCCTTACCAAAGCCTTTCATTGCTTTACGAAGAATTTCTGCATCTCTCATGGCATCGAAGTTGGTAGCTGGTCTGATGGTTCCTTGAGTGCTCTGAGTCATTGCAGCAGGCTGAGAACAAGAGGCATAAAGTCAAGTCAATTATTGTGGTAATCATCTTGCAACATACACACATATCAGTTTTTCATGTTGTATATCTAAAACTGACAGAATGTTATATGTCAATTATATTTCAATAAAACTGGGAAAAGTGAGAAAATGATTAACTTACTTAAAAAAAGATATGTAAGTTAAAAATAAAAGACAAGTCAGGATTTTCTGCTGAAAACTGACAACTTACAACTTTCCCAGGTATTACTCTTAGACAAGAAGGCCGGTGTTTGGGCTTTAAGACAAGGATTTTATTATTAGGGCATATTCTGGAACAGGCAGGAAAGACCTATCTTCTCCAGCCAGTATACAGCCATGCATCAAACAAGACAAGAAAGTCAAGTTTGTAAAATTAGTTACAATCCTTCTATGCCTTCATTTGCTCCTTTGACAGTAGAAGGGGTAAAAAAGAGATGATTTCTGGCCCTCCCTGGTGGCGCAGCGGGTTAAAGCACAGCACTGAGAATCTAAAGCTGCTTCCGCATGAGTTCGACTCCTGTCTGCCCCGGAGGTGACCACATGGCGTGGCAGATCTCTCCTGACCCGCCCGCTGCTCCCCTCAGCAGTGTACTTCGTTGATCTGCCTGTTCTGCTCCCCACTCTGTCTCTGGTGAAGCCTCTCATCGCCCCTGAGCCTCTGGCCTGTACCCCAGTTCTGTATGCACGAATAAATAAATCTTTAAAAAAAAAAAAAAAAGAGATGATTTCTGAAAAGTGTGAGAGGAAAAGCAGTATTCGATTTAAAGTTAGAAGAATGTGGTAATAGTTTTAGTGAAGTAGGACATGAATTGTCCAAAATTTTGAATAAACAATATAATTTTGGTAATAATTCTCTTCATTTTCTCTATGGGCTCTGATTATTAGACATGAAATAATTTATAATAACAAAAGCATGAAATGAAGTTTATAATTATATAATCTGGGAAGTACAACATTCTTCAATTATTTTATAAGGATATGCACCAGAAAGCAAAACAAAAACTATATATTAAAGTATAATGAAATGAAATTTTAAATAAATGCCGTAAGACTAAAAAAAACCAATGCCATAAGACTACTATGGCAGCAATAATGATTTCAGGCAAGAATCATCAAAGGGATGCCAAAATTAGTGTTCATTTGTATGATGGAAACCAAGATACTTGAATGGTTTGTAACATTACAACAGAAAACCTGACAGAGACAGGCCAATTATCACCAGTAATGGAAAAAATCAACAATAGGTGCCTCCTCCAACTGGGAACATATTATTTCTCTGATATTCCTACCAAAATAGCATAATCCAAATCTAATCATGAGGAAATACCAGATGAGCTCCTATTAAGAAACATACTAAAAACATGGGGCCTCCCTGATGGTGCAAGGGGTTAAAGCACAGCACTGTGAAGCTAGCCACAGCCACTGCAGCACAGGTTCAATCCCCAATAAGGGAGTTGAACCCACATGGTGCAGGAGACCTCTCGTGTCCCCCCTGCCGCTCCCCTCAGCAGTGTGTTTCAGTGGATCCACCTGTTCTGCTCCCCTCTGTATCACTCCCACCACTTCTAGCCTGTACCCCAGTTCTTGTTTGCCTAAATAAATAAATCTTTAAAAAAAAAAAAAGAAAGGAGTATACTACAAAATAACTGTCAATGTCGTGAATAAGAAAAACCAAGAAATTGTTTCATATTAAGAAAGACTTAGAGCTATGATGATAAAAATGTTTCATTTGATTTGATCCTGAAGTAGAAAAGTACATTACAGAAATAACGGCTATTTGAATAAGGCATTAAGGTTAGATAATAGCATTATATCAGTGTTATATCCTCATTTTCACCTTTGTGTGTATTCTGCTCATGTAAGAAGTTAACATTTAGAGAATATGAACAAATGGTATGAGGGATTTTTTGTACAATTTTTGTAACTTTTTCTATATTAAAAGTCAAATTAAGAAATACAAAGTGGTGGCCCTCCCTGGTGGCGCAGCGGGTTAAAGCACTGCA